TCTTTGTTGGGCCTGTCCTGTAGTAGGTGACTTCTGGGTACTCTTCTGGCTCTGTCAATATGTCTCTTCACTTCAGCAGGTGGGTATTGTAGTTGTAAGAATGCTTGATAGAGATCTTGTAGGTGTTTGTCTCTGTCTGAAGGCTTAGAGCAAATGCGGTTGTATCCTCACCCATAACTATTTCACATTTGGGGACAATGTATACCTTCAAATCAGTGGCACTGCTATGGGTATCTGCATGGCCCCACAGTATGCCAACATTTTTATGGCTGACTTAGAACAACGCTTCCTCAGCTCTTGTCCCCTAATGCCCCTACTCTACTTGCGCTACATTAATGACATCTTCATCATCTGGAAAAGAAGCCCTTGAGGAAGTCCACCATGATTTCAACATTTTCCATCCCTCCATCGACCTCAGCCTGGACCAGTCCATGCAAGAGATCCACTTCCTGGACACTACGGTGCTAACAAGCGATGGTCACATAAACACCATCCTATATCGGAAACCTACTGACCGCTATTCCTACCTTCATGCCTCCAGCTTTCATTCAGACCATACCACACGATCCATTGTCTACAGCCAACTTCTGCGATACAACCGCATTTGCTCCAACCCCTCAGACAGAGGCAAACACCTATATCTCTTAGTCATCTCCTTTTTCTTTTTTTTATAACCTGAACAGTCAGTCTTAAATCTTTCCTCATATGGAAGCAGTTCCATACCCATAATCACTTTCATTGTCCTTCTCTGCACCATTCCAATTATATTATCTTTTTTGTGATGAGGTGCATGTGATGAGGTGCATTTACTGTCATATTATCTATCCTTTTTCCTAATGGTTCCTAACATTGTTAGCTCTTTTTTTTTAACTGTCATTATACATTAAATGGCTGTTTTCAGGGAATAATCCAGTGACTCCAAGAACTTTCTGAGTGATAAAAGCTAATTTAGACCCCATCACTTTGTATGTATAGATAGGATTATTTTTTCCAATGTGTATTACTGTGCACTTACTAACATTGATTTTCATCTGCCATTTTGTCACTCAGTTTAGTGAGAACCCCTTGTAACTCTTCACAGTAGTCTTTGTATTAAACTATCTTGAGCAATTTGTTTTGTCTGCAAACTTTGCCTGCTCGCTGTTTACCCCTCTTTTCCAGATAGTTTCTGAATATGTACAACAGCACAGATCTTAGTACAAATCCTTGGGGACCCTGCTATTTACCTCTGTCCACTGTGATAACTGGCCATTTATTCCTACCCTTTGTTCCCTATCTTTTTAACTAGTTTCTGATCCATGAGAGGACCCTTCCCTCTTAAGCAAACTAATCATTCATGGGATAAGAGCCATTGGTGAAGAACCTCATCAAAGGGTTTCTGAAAGTCCAAGTACACTGTATCCAGTGGATCATCCTTGTCCATATGCTTGTTGACTGCAACAAAGAATTCTAATGAGTCCAAGATTTCCCTTTACAAAAGCCTTGCTGACTCTTCCACAACATAGTGAGTTTTGTGTCTGATAATTGTGTTCTTTACTATAGCTTCAACTAATTTGCCTGGTACTGGAAGCCAGGCTTTCTTGCCTGTAATTGCCAGGATCACCTCTGGAGCCTTTTTTAAAAAATAGGTATTACCCTGGGCAGTGGGTATAAAAGTGGGCTGTAGACTCCAGGGAGATTACTGATGAACCCAGGAAGCGAAGTAGCAGATGCTGCTTCCTCAGCTGCCCCAGAACATACCTGGGGCATATCAAAAGGTGGTTGTTCTTTGGAATAGGGTTGCCAATTTTGCTTGGACGTATTCCTCAGTTTCTTCGCATAACATAATCTTTAATTAAAGATTATTCTTTAATTCCTGGAGATTCCAGGCCAATCCTGCAGGATTGGCAACCCTACTTTGGGAAGATACGCTGGCTTTTCCCGGGCAGCTTGGGGTCTGGGCAGGGGAGATGCGGTGGCTGGCTTGCAGCTCTTCCAGGCAAATGTGGGGGGCTGGGTTGAGGCTCCTATGGGCAGGTGGAGGGGTGCTTGGGCCTCTGGCTAGCTCAGGGCTTCTCTGGATGAGAGGGCAATGAGGGGGGCTCAGGGCTCCAGACTGGGGGGTGGGGTATGGGTGGAAGGGGCAGAGCTGGCAGCTAGCTTCCCTGAAGTGGGGCTCCACCCACTGTCCATGGGTGTTACATTAGCTACTCTCCAGTCATTTGGTACAGAGGCAGACTTAAGCATTAGGTTACATACCTATGTATCTACAGTTAGTAGTTCTGCAAGTACATATTTGAGTTCTTTCAGAACTGTTGCGTGAATATTATCTGGTCTTGGTGACTTTACTGCTTAATTTATCAACTTGATCTGGAACCTTCTCTATCTGGGATAGCTACTCATATTTGTCATCTAAAAAGAATGACTTGCGGGTGGGGATCTCCCCCATATCCTTTGCAAGGAAGGCTGATGCAAAGAATTCATTTAGCTTCTCCGCAATGGTCTTGTCATCCTTGAGTGTTTCTGATTCATTAGTAGGCTTCTTGCTTCTGTTGTACTTTGTTTTTGTTTTTCTAATGACTTTTTTTCTTAGCTAATTGATCTTCAAATTCTTCTTAGTCCTGCCTTATTATATTTTTACACTTGACTTGCAAGAGTTTATGCTCCTTTCTATTTTCCTCACTATGATCTGACTTCCAGTTTTTAAAGGATGCCTTTTGACTCTGCTGTTTTAGTCATGGTGGTATTTTTTTCCTTTTTAATTTGGGGTATACATTTTGTTTGTGCTTATATTTTATAGAGGCTTAAAATAGTCTCAGTGCAGTTTGCAAGCATTTCCCCTTTGTGATCCTTTTAATTTCCATATAAATAGCTTCCTCACTTTTTATGTAGTTCCCCCTTTTGAAGTTAATGCTAGTATGATTTGTTTCTTTGACATTTTACCCCTTCAAAGATATAGACTTTAATTACTTTATGTTGCCATTACCAGTTTTTTTCCATCATATTCACCTCTTGGACCAAATCCTCTATTCTACTTAGGGCTTAGCCTAGAATTACCTCCCCTCTTGTGGATTCCAGGACAAGCTGCTCCAAGAAGCAGTCATTTGTGGAGTGTCCAGGAATTTTATATTTGCATCCTGCCTTGAGGTGATGTACCCATTCAGTATGAGGATAGTTGAAATCCCCCATTATTGTTGCTTTTCTGCCTCTGTGATCTCCCTGAGCATTTCAAAATCACTGTCCCTATCGTGGTAAGGTTGCCAGTACTATATTCCTACTGCTAGACCGTTGTTCAAGCATGAAATTTCTGTCTATAGAAAGTCTGACAGTTTGTCATTTAAGATTTTTACTTTATTTGAGTCTATGCTGAGTTTGTTCCTCAGCTATGGTCTTCAAGTTTTTTTGTAATAGTCATCCCAGGCTGTTCTCACAACTGCACTCTGCAAACTACAGTGCCCCCTCCAGCCGCACCCTAACAAGTGCCCCCTCCCCCCCCCCAGCTACACCTTCAGGTGCTCAGGGATTCCCCACATCGAACTATTTATCAGACTTGAAACTCCAAGCAAACCTGCCTGGGCTGATTCGTTCCATTCCCTGTGAACATGCCTGCATTTAGTGGATCCATAGTGTAACTGGACCCTCAATCCTGACCTGAATCTTAGACTCCAAGCCTTTCAGAGTAGAGTCCATGTCTCCACCTGTGTTTGTACACCACCAAGTACAAGAGGCCTTGGATGATCAGTGTGCATAGAATGTGCATTCTTCCTGTCCTGTGCAATAATTGGGGCTAGGTTGCCTAGCTGCATTTCTATTCTGACCCCTTTCCACAGGATTTCCATTGTTTTACTTCTCTACAGTACACCAGACAGCTTAGGCCCCATGTTTCTAACAGATGCTGAAGTCTTGACGTTTTCCCCCCTCATTGGATTTTCTCTGGCCTAGTAATATCTCCCAGAAAAGTGGGCTACCATATTAGAATGGTGGCATTTCACACTCCCTTTGCACAAGCATATTATTGCTTAGCATGTCTACTGCATTAGCACCCAAGCGCGCATGTGCGCGCACACACACACACGTAAAAACAGAGCTCATTAACTAATTGAAGACAGGTGTAAATTGCTGCACAAGATGCAAAGCAGCGACTATTCTGGCTCACAGGAGTTACAAAAAGAGACATTCCTAACCTCTTAAGTCATTTAGTCCATCCTTTTTGCTGATGCATGACTGAGCCCTATAATATAATCTTCACTTTGTAGTACAGTTTAGTTTTAAATAGTTCACAAGATAAAATATGCACCATTTCTGAAACACAGTTAGTGTTAGAAGCAACCTGTTATTGACCTGAATTCTGACTGCAAAATACATTGTTTAAAAAAAGGCTGTTAACGAAAACATCTTGAGTTGCAGCATTTTTCCTCCCTCTACAAGCTAACTCTAAAATGGCTGAAGGAAATTTACAAAACTTAAAGACTGAGAACAAGCATGACAAATTTTAGCTCAAAGGGTAATTCCCTACTCTGCCCCCAGAAACTAAGGGCTTTAAAGTGAGTATCTGTAATTGCCTCAGCCTTCACTGCAGCAACAGGACCATATGGCTATAACAAGCACAAGTGGCTGCAGTAGAATTTTAGCAGCATATATATTTTGCTCACTAAAAAGACAGGACACTTCTCAGTTATTCATCAATATCTCAGTGCACTTCTAGGACATCCAGAGCCAGGTTTGTCATTTCATTCTTACACTAAGCCCTGGTCTACACTAGGACTTTAGGTCGAATTTAGCAGCGTTAAGTCGATGTAAACCTGCACCCGTCCACACAATGAAGACCTTTATTTCGACTTAAAGGGCTCTTAAAATCGATTTCCTTATTCCACCCCTGACAAGTGGATTAGCGCTTAAATCAACGTTGCCGGCTCGAATTTGGGGTACTGTGGACACAATTCGATAGTATTGGCCTCCGGGAGCTATCCCAGAGTGCTCCATTATGACCGCTCTGGACAGCACTCTCAACTCAGATGCACTGGCCAGGTAGACAGGAAAAGAACCGCGAACTTTTGAATCTCATTTCCTGTTTGGCCAGCGTGGCAAGCTGCAGGTGACCATGCAGAGCTCATCAGCACAGGTGACCATGATGGAGTCCCAGAATCGCAAAAGAGCTCCAGCATGGGCCGAACGGGAGGTACGGGATCTGATCGCTGTTTGGGGAGAGGAATCCGTGCTATCAGAACTCCGTTCCAGTTTTCGAAATGCCAAAACCTTTGTGAAAATCTCCCAGGGCATGAAGGACAGAGGCCATAACAGGGACCCGAAGCAGTGCCGCGTGAAACTGAAGGAGCTGAGGCAAGCCTACCAGAAAACCAGAGAGGCGAACAGCCACTCTGGGTCAGAGCCCCAAACATGCCACTTCTATGATGAGCTGCATGCCATTTTAGGGGGTTCAGCCACCACTACCCCAGCCGTGTTGTTTGACTCCTTCAATGGAGATGGAGGCAATACGGAAGCAGGTTTTGGGGACGAAGAAGATGATGATGATGAGGAGGAGGAGGTTGTAGATAGCTCACAGCAAGCAAGCGGAGAAACCGGTTTTCCCGACAGCCAGGAACTGTTTCTCACCCTAGACCTGGAGCCAGTACCCCCCGAACCCACCCAAGGCTGCCTCCTGGACCCAGCAGGCGGAGAAGGGACCTCTGGTGAGTGTACCTTTTAAAATACTATACATGGTTTAAAAGCAAGCATGTGAAATGATTACTTTGCCCTGGCATTTGCGGTTCTCCTAGATGTAGTCCTAAAGCCTTTGCAAAAGGTTTCTGGGGAGGGCAGCCTTATTGCGTCCTTCATGGTAGGACACTTTACCACTCCAGGCCAGTAACACGTACTCGGGAATCATTGTAGAACAAAGCATTGCAGTGTATATTTGCTGGCATTCAAACAACATCCGTTCTTTATCTCTCTGTGTTATCCTCAGGAGAGTGAGATATCATTCATGGTCACCTGGTTGAAATAGAGTGGTTTTCTTCAGGGGACACTCAGAGGAGCCCATTCCTGCCGGGCTGTTTGCCTGTGGCTAAACAGAAATGTTCCCCGCTGTTAGCCACAGGGAGGGGGGAAGGTTGAGGGGGTAGTCACGCGGTGGGAGGAGGCAAAATGCGACCTTGTAACGAAAGCACATGTGCTATGTATGTAATGTTAACAACAAGGTTTACCCTGAAAGAGTGTAGCCACTGTTTTATAAAATGTGTCTTTTTAAATACCGCTGTCCCTTTTTTTTTTTTTCTCCACCAGCTGCATGTGTTTCAATGATCACAGGATCTTCTCCTTCCCAGAGGCTAGTGAAGCTTAGAAAGAAAAAAAACACGTACTCGCGATGAAATGTTCTCCGAGCTCATGCTGTCCTCCCACACTGACAGAGCACAGACGAATGCGTGGAGGCAAATAATGTCAGAGTGCAGGAAAGCACAAAATGACCGGGAGGAGAGGTGGCGGGCTGAAGAGAGTAAGTGGCAGGCTGAAGACAGGGCTGAAGCTCAAATGTGGCGGCAGCATGATGAGAGGAGGCAGGATTCAATGCTGAGGCTGCTGCAGGACCAAACCAGTATGCTCCAGTGTATGGTTGAGCTGCAGCAAAGGCAGCTCGAGCACAGACTGCCACTGCTGCCCCTCTGTAACCAACCGCCCTCCTCCCCAAGTTCCATAGCCTCCACACCCAGATGCCCAAGAACGCGGTGGGGGGGCCTCCGGCCAACCAGCCACTCCACCACAGAGGATTGCCTAAAAAACAGAAGGCTGTCATTCAATAAATTTTAAAGTTGTAAACTTTTAAAGTGCTGTGTGGCATTTTCCTTCCCTCCTCCACCACCCCTCCTGGGCTACCTTGGTAGTCATCCCCCTATTTGTGTGATGAATGAATAAAGAATGCATGAATGTGAAGCAACAATGACTTTATTGCCTCTGCAAGCGGTGATTGAAGGGAGGAGGGGTGGGTGGTTAGCTTACAGGGAAGTAGAGTGAACCAAGGGGCGGGGGGTTTCATCAAGGAGAAACAAACAGAACTTTCACACTGTAGCCTGGCCAGTCATGAAACTGGTTTTCAAAGCTTCTCTGATGCGTACCGCGCCCTCCTGTGCTCTTCTAACCACCCTGGTGTCTGGCTGCGCGTAACCAGCAGCCAGGCGATTTGCCTCAACCTCCCACCCCGCCATAAACGTCTCCCCCTTACTCTCACAGATATTGTGGAGCACACAGCAAGCAGTAATAACAGTGGGAATATTGGTTTCGCTGAGGTCTAAGCGAGTCAGTAAACTGCGCTAGCGCGCCTTTAAACGTCCAAATGCACATTCTACCACCATTCTGCACTTGCTCAGCCTGTAGTTGAACAGCTCCTGACTACTGTCCAGGCTGCCTGTGTACGGCTTCATGAGCCATGGCATTAAGGGGTAGGCTGGGTCCCCAAGGATACATATAGGCATTTCAACATCCCCAACAGTTATTTTCTGGTCTGGGAATAAAGTCCCTTCCTGCAGCTTTTGAAACAGACCAGAGTTTCTGAAGATGCGAGCATCATGCACCTTTCCCAGCCATCCCACGTTGATGTTGGTGAAACGTCCCTTGTGATCCACCAGAGCTTGCAGCACTATCGAAAAGTACCCCTTGTGGTTTATGTACTCGGCGGCTTGGTGCTCCGGTGCCAAGATAGGGATATGGGTTCCATCTATAGCCCCACCACACTTAGGGAATCCCATTGCAGCAAAGCCATCCACTATGACCTGCACATTTCCCAGGGTCACTACCCTTGATATCAGCAGATCTTTGATTGCGTGTGCTACTTGCATCACAGCAGCCCCCACAGTAGATTTGCCCACTCCAAATTGATTCCCAACTGACCAGTAGCTGTCTGGTGTTGCAAGCTTCCACAGGGCTATCGCCACTCGCTTCTCAACTGTGAGGGCTGCTCTCATCTTGGTATTCATTTGCCTCAGAGCAGGGGAAAGCAAGTCACAAAGTTCCATGAAAGTGCCCTTACGCATGAAAGTTTTGCAGCCACTGGGAATCGTCCCAGACCTGCAACACTATGCGGTCTCACCAGTCTGTGCTTGTTTCCCAAGCCCAGAATCGGCATTCCACAGCATGAACCTGCCCCATTAGCACCATGATGCATGCATTGGCAGGGCCCATGCTTTCAGAGAAATCTGTGTCCATGTCCTGATCACTCACGTGACCGCGCTGACGTCGCCTCCTTGCCCGGTATCGCTTTGCCAGGTTCTGGTGCCGCATATACTGCTGGATAATGCGTGTGGTGTTTAATGTGCTCCTAATTGCCAAAGTGAGCTGAGCGGCCTCCATGCTTGCCTTGGTATGGCGTCCGCACAGAAAAAAGGCACGGAACGATTGTCTGCCGTTGCTCTGATGGAGGGAGGGGCGACTGACGACACGGCTTACAGGGTTGGCTTCAGGGAGCTAAAATCAACAAAGGGGGTGCCTGTACATCAAGGAGTATTTCAGGCAGGACTTCACGGAGGGTTCCAATAAGAAATGGTGCACCTAAGTTATCGTTCTTATTGGAACAAGGAGGTTAGCCTGGCCTCTGATTGATACATGTCTAGATTTACCTCGCTGCACCTTCTCTGTGAGTGACTGCAGTGTGACCTAGAGGAATGAGTCCCCTAGACAGGGGAGGAGGCAAATGAGTACAAAACAAATCTGGTCTATTTCTTGTTTTGACCCACTCCATCTATCTTTTACATCTTTGGCTGGCAGCAGACGGTGCAGAAGGACTGCATGCCATCCACATCTCATGGCTGCTCGGCAGAAGATGGTACAGTACGACTGCTAGCAGTCCGTATCGCCTGCCCGCTCACCATAAGACGGTTCAATAGGACTGACTGCAGGACTAAAGAGAATGACCTGGTCAAGTCACTCCAAATTTAGTCCCTGCGCCCATGTCTGCCCAGGCGCTCCCAGCCGACGTGGCCAGGAGCACCTCGGACATGACGATGACGGCTACCAGTCGTACTGTACCGTCTGCTGCCACAAGGCAAGGGGTTGCTGCTACTGTGTAGCAATGCCGTACCGCGTCTGCCAGCACCCAGGAGACATACGGTGACGGTTACCTGAGCGGGCTCCATGCTTGCAGTGGTATGGCGTCTGCACAGGTAACTCAGGAAAAAAGGCGTGAAATGATTGTCTGCCCTTGCTTTCACGGAGGGAGGGAGGGAACGGGGGCCTGACGATATGTACCCAGAACCACCCGCGACAATGTTTTAGCCCCATCAGGCATTGGGATCTCAACCCAGAATTCCAATGGGCAGCGGAGACTGCGGGAACTGTGGGATAGCTACCCACAGTGCAACGCTCCGGAAGTCGACTCTAGCCTCGGTACTGTGGAAGCGCTCCGCCGAGTTAATGCACTTAATGCACTTAGAGCATTTTCTGTGGGGACACACATACTCGAATATATAAAACCGATTTCTAAAAAAACGACTTCTATAAATTCGACCTTATTCCGTAGTGTAGACATACCCTAATTCATATCTGTGAAAGCATAATGAGGAAATGCAGATGTGAAAATAATTCCCCACGGTGGTATTGGGACCTGTACCTTTAATTGGTACAACTCCCCAGACAGAAAGTTCAGGGTGGGGGGTATTTGATGACCAGGTACTGCAGAAGCTTATTCTCTACTATGCAGGGACAGAAGGGAATGATGTCACTGAATAAAGAGGATCCCTTTTAAGCACCACAGTGATTCTAAAATATTCAAAAATCAGAGTTAGCGTAAGGTTCCAGATATAATTTTCTACTATAGTTGATTAGAATCAACAAAGCTTTGACTTGCCCCAGTCTGCATAATCTGTATTTTTTCTTATTTCTTCCCTTCACAGTTATTGCTCCTGTCTATTCCTTTGTCCTGGAATCTCTAGCTTGGATCATCTCATGCAACGCGTGCAGCACAAACAGAAGGCAATCACTAACTCACCCATGTAGGCAGAGAAGAAGAGTAACCTGGGTAAAATCCATTGCACAAATAGTATCCCACTGCATGTGGGCTTGGATTTAGCAGCTGCACACACAGGAAGCATGTGTTATAAAAGGTGAGCCTGGAAATCTGAAAAGGAGCTTGGCAGATGGATCAAAGCCCCTGTGGAGTATGAGCCTGTTCTTAAAACTGATGCTGAACATAAAGTAGGTTCCCTTTATGCCCTTAACTACACATTGGCAAGCATAGGTCCATTCTGTTTAAAGTATTGTGGGCTTTAATTTGAGGTCCTAATTCTCGGATGGTTTGTACCAGTAACTTGAGATTTTGCTTTCAGAGAAACAGGTGGAGGTGACATCTGCACTACTATGCATTTTTGAAAGAGTACAGCCATAACATGGAGGCCAGGAGGCATGCATCAAGTACCCTTAGGCTAAATTGACAAATATTCTCCTCCAGGATGTGTTCTCTCCACTCCATCTCCAAAGCAATTGTCTGTGTAAGTTGGAGAGCAGATGAGCTGACTAGTGCCCTTGCACCTTGTCAAGTTGGGTTGGTTTTATACTTTTTTGGAAAAGGGGGTGGAGGGGGAGAACAGGACAGGGCAACAGTGCACCTCTGTTGTAATCTCTGTGCACATCAGAAGACCTTTACAATAATGTGCTTGTCCAGGGCCATAGACGGAGCCAGAGTCTTAATGAGGATGAGAAATTAGAAGTTGCTGATGCCTGGTCCAATGTACAAATTCCATTACCTCTAAAAGAAAATGGAGTTCAGGGTTCCAAAAACTATCTGTACAGGTATATCTCTACCCCATGGTTATCACCAAAAACATTTTAGCTGTATCCCAGTGCAATTATATTGCTAAGTCTGTGATGCTGAGATCTGATCCAGCTCTTCTTCATTGTTCCAAGAAATCTAAACTAAGCCACTTCTGTTGTACAAATGTAAAACCAATTTCCTTCTCTTCAACTCTTTCTCTTTGTATTTAATGTTCACTAAGTCTTCTTTTCTTGACCATCTTTCTTACTCTTCCTTCCTATATTTATTCCATTTCCTGTCAGACACAGCCTGAAGTATGTAAGGGTTCATAGAATCATAGAATATCAGGGTTGGAAGGGACCTCAGGGGGTCATCTAGTCCAACCCCCTGCTCAAAGCAGGACCAATCCCCAATTAAATCATCCCAGCCAGGGCTTTGTCAAGCCTGACCTTAAAAACTTCTAAGGAAGGAGATTCTACCACCTCCCTAGTTAACCCATTCCAGTGTTTCACCACCCTCCTAGTGAAAAAGTTTTTCCTAATATCCAACCTAAACCTCCCCCACTGCAACTTGAGACCATTACTCCTTCTCCTGTCCTCTTCTACCACTGAGAATAGTCTAGAACCACCCTCTTTGGAACTACCTCTCAGGTAGTTGAAAGCAGCTATCAAATCCCCCCTCATTCTTCTCTTCTGCACACTAAACAATCCCAGTTCCCTCAGCCTCTCCTCATAAGTCATGTGCTCCAGCCCCCTAATAATTTTTGTTGCACTCTGCTGGACTCTTTCTAATTTTTCCACATCCTTCTTGTAGTGCTGGGCCCAAAACTGGACACAGTACTCCAGATGAGGCCTCACCAATGTCAAATAGAGGGGAACGATCACATCCCTCGATCTGCTGGCAATGCCCCTACTTATAGAACCCAAAATGCCATTGGCCTTCTTGGCAACAAGGGCACACTGTTGACTCATATCCAGCTTCTCGTCCACTGCAACCCCTAGGTCCTTTTCCGCAGAACTGCTGCCCA